AGGGGACGGGGGTAGGGGAGGGATTGAGGGGGTCGATAGGAGGGTACCGCGTGTCACCGTGTGTGCACCAATTTGCTGCGCTTCTACATACCCATTCTGAGTAGAACAAAACCTTGGGGAGTCGTGTGTTTGGCCTTTGGACCAAGTGTCCCGCCCATCTAAGTTTACATTCTTCAGCTGGCAAAAAAGATACATTAAGGTGTTTTTGCCCTCTCAAAAACTGCAGTGCTTATGATCTAGTATACTGTAAATCGTTATTGAATGTTCTCAGACAGGAGAGATAAAAACCCGTTGAGCTTAATTTGTTGACATGTTTTTTGTACACCAACCACGGCCGGTACATCTCCATTAGGCCCACATAGGCCTGAATATAAATAAATTGACCTTATATCAAATGACCCCCCCCCCCCCATTTTTTCCTTTCTTTCTCTTCTTTAGCATTTAATTTGTCGCCGATTTGCCTCTGATTTGCCCCTGATTATTAAATTGTTATTGAATTTTAGGCTTCTGTCAATATTTTGTTTAAGAATTGGAATTAAAGTATTAAAAAATCGCCAGGAGAAAATTCAAAGGAATTAAGTGCACCACTTCAGCTTGTCGGTACAATATTTTAATAATCTGGCATCGTCAGATACTGTATCAGCCCGATGACCAATGGCAAGCGGCCGCCGTGAGGGTGTTATTTGTGAGGACACTAAAAAAGGGGGTAACTCGAATCTATGGTGAGGACTCGCAATACCAAATGAAAGGTCTCAAGCGACCTGAGGACTGACGAGTCATGTCGCGTTGAGTTTGTTTTGTTTTAGTAGAGGTTTTTACGGCGCTCGCAATTGCATAAGGTCATGAGCGTCAGAAGATTTGAGGTGTTACAAGAGAGTAACAAACATAAAAGAGAAGGAGGAAATATAAGGACGATAGATATTTGATAGGAATAGAAGAAGCAAACCACACCAGAGCACCCGCCAACCACCAGTTGAGTTTGATTTGAAAAAAATAACAAAAAAAGTACATCTTCAGGGTCATAGACACGTATTATAATATTTTAAATTTGAATTTACATAACGTGCATCAAATTGAGCTGTTGGTAATTTTTTCCCCTGTGCATGGCAATCGCACAAGACAGAATCTCTTATATTATCTAAATGTGTCGTCAAGACTTGCCACTCATCGCTAGTCTCTAAATTAATATAACTAATAAATCAAGATGACAATCGCGGTGCTATCCCGATATACCGCCAGCCACACGACCGCCAACTTATGCTCGTCCCAAGGAAGGCGGTAAAAGGGGGTTTGACTATATACGAGGCTTCACCATAACGTTTTTGGGCTCCACGAATTAGTATAGAAATTAAATCTGATGCTGAAACCAAGAATAGAGAGCCCGCAAGCTCTGCACATGATCCGTAAGTGGAAGTTGAAGTGGAGCTCAAAATGTGGCAAACATTTCTCTGCCAGAATTGGTCCCAGTGGCCATAGCAGAAGCCAAAAGTAATCTTAAACTTTAATTTTTCTATTTTGCTTGAAAAAAATTCTCCTCTGAGGATGCATTATATATAGTTATCATCAGATTCAGACATTGACGAACAAACTTTTATCATTGTTAGTTTCGTTGCAGTTCTGATTGGTTACCTTGGTTGTATTTTTGGAAGACATCTTCAATCTATAAATAGGGTCACGACCGAACGCTAAAAATAGTCGTCTGTCATTGATTTGCATCCCATAATAGTCGGATATGACCTTTAGACAGTTGCTATGATTAATGCGCAATGTTTATTTTTCATCAATATTACCTTAAGATTTATCATTATCACAAATAACAAAGTCGGTAAAAAAGAATATGATTAACTAAAGAGATTCGTTTCTAGTGAATTGTCTATTGATAGCACTGTTTTGGGTGCATTCAGTCGAAAAGAGAGAGACCTACGTTTTGCACAATATTATCAGGTCAAAGACGTTGTTAGTCCCAAACGACTAGCTGTAGAGGCTGAGATAAGCCTACGTACAACCTTCTTTGTGGGAAAAATAATAAGCATGATTACCGCCAGTCTATGTTTGTATTGTCTTTGAAAATGGAATTTCAACCAACTGATTATTGATCTTCATAACGGTCTTACTTTTGCCATGGTTGCTCATTGAGTGCCGTGAGTCATTACTGTGGAAACGGCTAAGCATTTTAGTAAGTTACGTCCACATACGTCCAGCTGAAGAAGAAAGTCTTATCAGGACTTGCCCTCCTGGAGCAGGTTCTATTGAGGCTGAACCTCCGAGGTGCATAAGGATCATCTTCTTGATCTATTTTTCTTTGATTTAGTCGGTCTTGCTTCATAACAGTCCCAATGTCGTCGATGGGCTCCAGACCCCAGAGTAGGAAGGACACCAAAATGCGCATTCGTGCGTTTCCTGTAAGTTGCTTTTTGTTTGTGTTCTGTTACTGTACTGTGTCTGCTGTGTGAGTGTGTAGCAGTGAGGTCTCATGTGTGAATGTGTGTGTCGTATGTTCATGAAGTTGTAATCTGCACACAAATGACAATGACTAATGTCAGAGAAAGACCACTTAAGCCAGGCCTATCAAGTACGTAAATGGAGGTACTGACAGTAGGCTGCTGGGTGATCTTGTAGTTGTAGTTCCGTTCGTTAAAGTCCACAATCCATTGTTTACATCCAGAGAAGAAATCCAGAAGTCTTGATGACCAAATACTATTTGAAATAGGCTACACAAAGAGCAGGGATGCAACCTGACTGCAAAACATCAAATTAGGATAGGGAGTGTATACAGACCCGGTAACCGGGAACAAAGTCACAAAGTATACAGACCCGGTAGGGGAACTCTTATTTTGTGATTTCGAAGAGTTTCTGCGCCCTCTTGGCTCAGGGTAGACCTAGGTTCTTCTAGATCTGTGGCCTAGGTCTAGATCTAGATCTAGGCAGACTGACATAAATCTTTGATCTAGTTTCGCGGCTAGCCTAGATCTAGATCTAAATGAAGATTGCTGATGTCACTGATGTCTTTTCGATGAACAATCGGTTTTCCTCCGTTTTGGAGTTGGAGGAATCGCAAGACGCAATTTAAAGAAAAGAACAATGTCATAATTTCAATCGAGCAGTCACCCTCTCTATTTCTCTCTCTCTCTCTCTCTCTCTCTCTCTCTCTCTCTCTCTCTCTCTCTCTCTCTCTCTCTCCCTCCCTCCCTCCCTCCCTCCCTCCCTCCCTCCCTCCCTCCCTCCCTCCCTCTCTCTCTCTCTCTCTCTCTCTCTCTCTCTCTCTCTCGCCTTCTCTTTTTCTTTGTTTGTCTCTGTCTTTCTTTGTCCCCACCTATTTCACGCTCTATCTTTCTCTCGTTCCCTCCTGCCAACTGGGGCATGTCATTACATTTTGCTAGCACCCCTCTCTCTCTCTCTCACTTTCTCTCTCTCTCTCTCTCTCTCTCTCTCACACACACACACACGCACACATTAGATTTCTACCGGGTCTGGGGGCTGAAACTTCCCGAAATCACAAAAGAATTCCCCTACCGGGTCTGTATACTTCGTGACTTTGTTCCCGGTTACCGGGTCTGTATACACTTCGATTAGGATAACATTCAGGGGCACCCCTGAACCTCCCACCTCCATATTTTCATTAGGTCAGGAAACCCCCTACTCGTGACTTTAACGAACGAAACCACAAAATCGCCGGCTGCTGGAGTATGGGTAGGCCTTTGGAGTTGTTGACTCTGACTGGTACTGGTAGCGAGGGATGGCATTCTTTCTTTGGTGTTCATTGTGTTCCCTCTCGATGGGTTTGAGGGTCTCTAGATTTGGAATCTCGATAAATTTTTACTTACACTCCCGCACACAGATGCACTGCTTCGAGGGTCAAACTGCAGTATTTGACTAGATCTAAATTGTTTGCTGCAGATCACACAGAAAGGCCCACCAAAACTGTCGCAAATCAATTATTTTCAAGAAAATTTCAAACCTAACTGTAAAATATCAAATTTTGTGTTAAAATAGGGGGGCATGAACCCCCCAGGTTTTTTTTTGCCCCAGGGGTGCAGACCCCCCTGAATCCTCCCGATTGGTCCAAAGAGCAGAAATTGCTAGATATCTACGCGGTTAGGCATAATGTGATAGAGTATAGTTCGATTAAGAAAAATCAAATATTTCAAAAACTATTAATTTGCGACGGAAATGAAGTTGATGTTCGTGGCGCATCAATATTTAGTAGAAAATGGACAACTGGTAGCTGATTGTTGGACGGGAGGGAAAATAGAGAATACTGGAGTCTCTTCGGAAGGAAGGTGGAAGAAAACAATGCAGTACAAGCTTTTCTGGAAGTTAAAACTTTCATAATTATCCCTGTATCATGATCTCTCCAATGTCGCTATTGAATATAAAATTTCCTTTTCTTCTTGGCTGCCATTATTCCTGGGAATAAAATTTTCTCTTAGAAGGCCAGTCCCAGAGTGCCTCTGTAGGTCTGACCTGCAGCTCGCCTAACGCCTGCCGCACTGTGTGTTGGCGTCTGTGGGATGTGGCAACTGACGGGTGTGCAGTGCTATGTACTGTGTGCCGTGTATGCGATGCAACAGGGTTGATAGAACATCATCCACAATTTCCTTGATGACAAACATTGCCAAATTAAAGGACCTTATATTTTTATACAAGGACTTGACAACCCGGCGTAAAAAATGAATGACTTTTTTTCCTTAATTTTGTTTTGACAAAAACACTAAGGACTTTAATTTTGTTTAAAAAGGACTTTCCTAAAGACCTGTGGGGAAACCTGTGTAAGAGTTGTACATGCGTTCTCTGCTTCAATCCTGTCTTCTCGCTCGTTTGGTCTGTTTTCCTTCTTTCATAATTCCAATCTCCTCATACGGTACGATATTCTTTCATCCTTATCCAGCCCTTTCTTCGAGATTTGTCTACGGGCACATCTAGGTCTAGATTCTAGATCTAGATAGATTCTGAGGTGAATTCTTTAAATCTAGATCAGATGTAAATTATTATTATTATCTTCTAGAATCTAGGCCTTTTTAGGGACATCCCTCTGTATCTCAAGTCCTGAACTATCAATCTAGATCTTGATTCTAGCCTAGAAGCTCACAGGCCTATGCATGTAAACAAACAGTCGAAACTAGGTCAACCTCTTGATTCGAAATTTTAATGTATGATAAATGTATTTGTTGGGATTTTGTGTTCAAGTGTTGATGCCAGCATCAATATCTAATAGTAAAGCACCTAAACTTATTTCTTGCTGATTTTGATGACCTGTGAAGTTTGACGTCCGATAGCCTTGTTGAGCTCTGTTGGAGACGCATCGAACATTATAAACGTCAGATAGCATTTCTCGACCGTTGTATCCCCTCAAATGAATGTATTCCAGGGAACAAACTGTTGGTTGACATTGCTAAACCATATTTTATTTTGTATTTATTTACTTTTGACCGTATAGCGTCGTATTTTGTAATTTTCTGTGGTGATTTATGAAGGCAGTCGAGGCGGTAAAGAACATAGATCTTTGAAGAGTACCATAAAAAGAAGTACTATACCACAATGACTGAAACTATTTCTTCACTGTATTCGGACTGTAAATTGTGTTGGGATGTGTTTTTAGCTGCATTGTAGTTGTGTTGTAACTTTTTCTTGTTTGTGTCTGTATTTTTTCACTGTCAAATAAGAGGCAAAAATAATTTTTTGAAATGTCTCATACACCATTTTGTAGGGGTCTTGGTAAGTTCAGGAATATATTCAGGCACATTGGTTAGGTCTAGAAGGCAAAGTCCAAATGTTGAATGTGTAGATGGTGAAAACAGACTTTAAAAATGTCAAAGGGGGGGGGGGGGGGGGAATGGCAGACTTTCAAAGGTTGTTTTTTTTCTTGGGGGGGGGGGGTCCCTTGCTCGATCCCGTCTAACTGACATCATCTGATTAGTTATGCATGTGATGTATTAGCTAGTCAACACATGGGTATGATTAGGTTAGTCTTGTATTTTTGGTTGACTGTGCATTGTTACTTTTCCTAGTAACTTTACAAATTACTTCCTCCCAAGAGACTGTCTGAAATTCTAATGTTGATAGTAGATTGAGGAGTTGTCAGATTCTTGTTATTTAGAATGTTCTGATTTTATATTAACCATTATATACTTCAAGCTCTGCAAATAGTAGGACCTGACCAGTTGCAAGCGTGTTGGTGATGTTTTGATGCTGTCATTAGATGATGAGGTTCATGACGCAACATCATAGATGTATAGAAAACATAGTTCTTGATTAGAAATAAAACATAAATAAAAGGATTAAGAGAAAGAAACACTATCAACTTTCTGAAATAAAATAGTGTTTCTTGGAGTTAATGTTAACTAGTCTACATCTTCCTAGACTGCTTCATTGAGTTGAGTCACAAGGTGGGCACCCTCTACCCCATTCCTAATGGAACCAACATATTACATTAATTTGTCACAGAAAATTTGCCAAAATTGTAAGTTTGGTCTCCATTCTGGTGACATTTGTTAGCGTTAACGTACGCTACCAGGTCAAGAGTTGATAATTGGTTAGATCTAGATGGTACGTCGATAAGAAGAAAGGAAGTGAGTTGTTTTCCCACCCGGGAATCCTCCACCCCCTCCTCTGTATTTCTTGAATTTGTTTGCAGTTTTAAGTTTGATATTTTCTTGAAAACGATTGATGGGCTGCTATCATCAAAGAAGACTAGAGACTCTATCAGGGCAGTTACTTCCTGATGGTTTTCTGGAAGCTGATTCATTCTGGACTTGCTAGTTTCAATTTCACTTTCCTTTTTGTGAAATCAGATCACAGAATACTCTTGCAACAAAATTGTCTTTGAGTCTTTTTTTTCTTGAATTTAAATAGGTGGGAGCCGACTATGGTTGTTAGTCTTCACACTTTGTTGCAGTTCCATTTTTTTCCAAGAAATTCCCTACAGATAGGCAAATGTGTGAATTTGTGTCCAGTTAAAAAAAAATGCCACCTACTAAATGCTGGTATCAGGTTTACAAACTATCCCAAAATTCCAGGGACTGTGTAGTAGGGGGAGGAGGGTCTGTTAACTCTTATAATTTTTAGCATCCAAAGATGGTTGAAACGATTTGAAGATTGAAAAAGAGATTGTTTTTGGGATGCAAGAACAGGCATGAATCTACTCTGTGCGCTAAGGGGGAGGGGGGGGGGATTGGATGGATCATTATCATGTCTGATATAATGTAGAAATTTTCCCCTAAGTTGCAAAGGTTCCTCAGGCAAAAATTGGTAGTAACACTCTGTTGCGATATTCTTGTCCAGATCACAATATTTTAGCAAGAACAGAGGTGAAATCAAGAATTTGCATTGCATTACTGTACAAGTATTTGATTGTGAAATTAATTTATCTTTTTTGTCTCCTAAGAGGGTAGTAGTGTTCAAGTCATGAGTTATCCTTTGCCCCACTTGTCTACTTGTCATGCAATGTGGGTGGTTGGCGGGTGCTCTGGTTTGGTTTGCTTCTTCTTTCCTATGAAACATCTATCGTCCTTATCTCCCCTACTTCTTTTTTATGTTTGTTACTCTCTTGTAACACCTCTAATCTTCTGGCGCTCGTATGACCTTATGCAGTTGCGAGTGCCGTTAAACCTCTGCTTAAACTAACTGTCATGCAATTTATTGGGGAAAAAATGTACACTAAGTTTCCCTGGTTTCAGATGTTTATGCCATGGAAAGGATTCCTGGGGCAGATGAGAAAAAAGGGCTAATGTTTGTCTGTACGATGGTCCTTACCGTAACTGCTGATATTATAAATGACTTTTGCTTTGGACTTGTAGTGTTTATTATAACATAGTGGGTGGTTGGCGGGTACTCTGGTGTGGTTTGCTTCTTCTTTCCTATCAAACATCTATCGTCCTTATCTCCCTTTCTTCTTTTTTTTATGTTTGTTACTCTCTTGTAACACCTCTAATCTTTTGGCGCTCATTGTAATAACATATGACATGTGCCCTTTGTATTTCTAGCTTACTCTTCATTTTTTAAAAATGTATACAAGACATGCACATATTTATTTTAACTTGTATGTGGCATGTTTTGTACTTCTCAGATGACGATGGATGAGAAGTACGTGAACAACATTTGGTCCTTGCTCAAGAATGCCATCCAGGAAATTCAGAAGAAGAACAACAGTGGGCTGAGCTTCGAGGAGCTGTACAGAAACGCCTACACCATGGTGCTACACAAACATGGGGAGAAGCTGTACACAGGCCTGAGGGATGTGGTCACCGAGCACCTCATTGGAAAGGTTAGAGTGTGTGTTTGTGTGTGTGTGC